CGTGCGTCGTGCGTGCGTGCGTGCGTGCGTGCGTGCGTGCGTGCGTGCGTGCGTGCGTGCGTGCGTGCGTGCGTGCGTGCGTGCGTGCGTGCGTGCGTGCGTGCGTGCGTGCGTGCGTGCGTGCGTGCGTGCGTGCGTGCGTGCGTGCGTGCGTGCGTGCGTGCGTGCGTGCGTGCGTGCGTGCGTGCGTGCGTGCGTGCGTGCGTGCGTGCGTGCGTGCGTGCGTGCGTGCGTGCGTGCGTGCGTGCGTGCGTGCGTGCGTGCGTGCGTGCGTGCGTGCGTGCGTGCGTGCGTGCGTGCGTGCGTGCGTGCGTGCGTGCGTGCGTGCGTGCGTGCGTGCGTGCGTGCGTGCGTGCGTGCGTGCGTGCGTGCGTGCGTGCGTGCGTGCGTGCGTGCGTGCGTGCGTGCGTGCGTGCGTGCGTGCGTGCGTGCGTGCGTGCGTGCGTGCGTGCGTGCGTGCGTGCGTGCGTGCGTGCGTGCGTGCGTGCGTGCGTGCGTGCGTGCGTGCGTGCGTGCGTGATGCGCGTGCGTGCGTGCGTGCGTGCGTGCGTGCGTGCGTGCGTGCGTGCGTGCGTGCGTGCGTGCGTGCGTGCGTGCGTGCGTGCGTGCGTGCGTGCGTGCGTGCGTGCGTGCGTGCGTGCGTGCGTGCGTGCGTGCGTGCGTGCGTGCGTCGTGCGTGCGTGCGTGCGTGCGTGCGTGCGTGCGTGCGTGCGTGCGTGCGTGCGTGCGTGCGTGCGTGCGTGCGTGCGTGCGTGCGTGCGTGCGTGCGTGCGTGCGTGCGTGCGTGCGTGCGTGCGTGCGTGCGTGCGTGCGTGCGTGCGTGCGTGCGTGCGTGCGTGCGTGCGTGCGTGCGTGCGTGTGTGTGTGTGTGTGTGTGTGTGTGTGTGTTTGTGTGTGTGTGTGTGTGTGTGTGTGTGTGTGTGTGTGTGTGTGTCAGGGATGTTCCGGATGCCGATTTTTTCACATCCGCGGATGTGAATGCGAATATTTTTGAAGGTTCACATCCGCGAATGCGGATGCGGATGCGGATGTTTAAGATCTTATATAAATATAGTATATGAATGAAGAATTAAAACAATGATAAAGTAATTATTAACATTTTTGTTTTAAAAATTAGTATTAAGTATAATTCTCCAATTTTTATTTAAGTATTTTTTAGCGCGGTATGAAAGTAATTCCTTTTTGAGTACAGCTTCAGTTCTACCATTTCCTGGTACTTCTTGACTCTCATCTTCACTTGACGAATCTAAATCTAAATATAAACAAATCGTAAAAAGATTTCTTTTGAGGTCGCTTTAACAAATTAAACCTATTGTGATTATTATCATAGCAAAATGTGATTATTTATCACAAATATAAAATTTATAAAAAATATAAAACTTTTTACTGTCTAAAGTCATAATTAATAAGTATAAAATTTAAATTAAGACAAAAATAGAACAAATAACTAACCGACATTTACAAAGAAACTAAAAGGCGAAAGGAACGAGTATTTCTTAATTTGGTCGGATTATACAAGCCAATCTGGCTTGTTTGTATACATTCTATTTTTTCGTAAAATTGGAAGGATTAAGTATCAAGACAGCTACGACTAACGAAATGTTAAAAAAGACATCACTACCTATTTAAATAATGATATTATAATAAATTGCTAGACTAATTATTTGCTAAAAAAGCGAAGAATTTATCTTCTGTAATTGATTTTCTTTACTCATGATCTTATATTTGGAAAATTCTTCTGGGTGCATCGACTTTAGACGATTTTTAAAGACGAGGTAGTTCGGCCCTTGCGAGAGTAGCTTTTATTGTATATTTTACAATCAGTCTTATCAAGGTCCTCTTTAAGTGGTTCAAAATAATTCCATATATTACTTTGTGTCGGTGGTGACATTATTAATTAACTACTTATTAATTGTTAGATAATTTAACAATAACGGGAACCTCACTAGATAAATAAAGATAATTGTTTTAAAATGATAAACTTTACCTACAGTAAAACGTATTACCGGTGTAACATAATGGCATTTACCTGACGATTTCCCAATAAACAATTAATTAAGTACACACAATGATCCACACAACAAGGAATCCACAGCGCAAACAAACGCGTTATGATTTATTTACAATAAACAAAGGATGCACCACAAGAAACGCGTCGGATCTTGTCCATCAATGTTTTCGCTCCCATTGGTATTTGTCACGTGCAAACGGCAGGCGCCATTGGTGGCCCCGCTCATTTCTTTCTTGTCACAACTTGTATTACATTCGCATACGCATGAAAATCCGCATTGATTATTGCGGATGCGGATGCGGATGAAGAAGTCCAAATCTATGCGGAAGCTCCGCATTTGCGGATGCGGATGCGAATATTCGCAACATCCCTAGTGTGTGTGTGTGTGTGTGTGTGTGCGTTCATCTCATGTGCGTGTGTGTGTCTGGTTATTATGATTTTATACGGGTAGTTTTACGGATGACAGTTATATAAGAATTTATGTTTAAGTCTGAATACTAAGAAGGTTTTCAGTTTCATTATAAGTTAATTTTTGTAGGTAATTCTGTACAGTTTGTTTTACAATTTATTTTATTAAGGTGGTAAATATCTAATGTTTTATTTAGTTTATTATATAAGTGTGGTCCCAAAAATGCAAAGAATTTTCTTGTAAAAGTTGTTTTAAAGTTAGTAGTATCTACGGAAAATTTCCTAGGTTTATTTAAGGTCGTTCGGTTGTATAGCAATAAGCTATGTTGTTTCTGAATAATCGTTAATATAAACAGTTGTCTTACTGTAAGGACTTGACAGCTAGCACAAAACTGTGATGTAGGATAAAGAAAAGGTTTAAATGTTGCAACTTTGAGTATAGCACGTTGAGAGATTTCTATCTTTTGTAACACCGTTTTAGAGGCACCAACCCTCGTTGATATGCAGTATGTTATAATAGACTGACATAAAGCTAAGTAAACTCATTTTAATATATCTGGATCCAAAACGTGTCTGATAGTTTTAAAAATATATATTAATTTATGAATTCTTTTGCTAAGTGTGTTAATATGTTGTTTAAAATTTAAATTACTATCTATTATAACCCCTAGATATTTAATATATTCAACAGAATCAAGTGAAAGGCAGTAACAGCTGTTAACCCTTGTTAAGCAATCATATGAATGAATCACTAAGTTAAAATTTTCAAGGTTGCGAATAGGTTTTCTTAATGAATAAACTATATATTTTGTTTTCGTAATATTGATTGAAAGTTTATTACTGTAAAGCCAATTAGTAACTGCATTTATACCTATTTGTGCGGACGAAAATACATTTTTCCACGTATCCGCAGCAAATATCAAAACAGTGTCATACAGTTGCAATACTAATACTCCTCTTTCCCCGCGACACCAACTCGGCTGCAATGGTAGGGGGAGAGGACACTTCACTCGTCGCAGCCCACCAACACACATCCGAAGAGGGTTCGTCAAGCCCACTTCGGAGTGGGTTTCTCTTTGTTAATCGCGGGTGACCAAGCCACGGCTACTTAGCCCAGCATTCGGGGGGGGGACTCGTTCTTAGTGGACCACTTTAGAGGGTGAAATTATTTTACTTCTTAAACTCGCGTTTGACTTTTTTATTAAAAGTTTTTTTTTACGCTTATCAGTGTACTAAGTTATATTACAAGCTCAAAGTCGTCAAAATAGTAAATTAACAACTTCATTCTCTATTTTGTAACCCTTAGCGATGGAATTTTTTCTTAAAATTTATATGTTATTTATTTAAAAAGATATATGAAAATTGAGTTCACAATTGACGAAGACATCGCAAAAACATAATATCAGGTCATAAACTTTCTTTTTCTAGTCGACTAAAAGTGTTTTTATTCAATGTAATTGTTTAATATCCAGAGCCCCTGAATCAATTTAAAATTATAACCATCTAATAATGTATCTGAAAATTAAAATCTGATCAAATATGATGTTAGTGCACATGAAAATTTATTTACTTTCGACTATTATGATATAACAGCCTCGTTTCGGTAAGAGAATTTTGTTATTAGGCCTACACGGTTATACCTTATCATTTATTAGTATTAATGTACACTTACTATAAATTTAATGTACACTCATTATCATGTATAGTTAAAATAATCGAAAAAATAATAAAATCTTTATTATATAACATATTAATGGGTAAACACGTATCCATTTAGCTTCGCCAATAAGTCGTAAATTCAACTGTAAAAATTTCAATATTTGATAAGTGACCAACACCGTTTTTTGCGTGAAATTAAGACCTACTTCATCTCGAAAAATCTTGCTTAACTGTTCTAGTGTAGTGGAGTAATCTTGCAAAAACTATTTCAACATTACCAAATTTGGGGGTAATTATAAAGTGTCGGTGATTTGTGTATTTACAACAAGTAAATGATTTATGTAAACAACAACAACGAGTATGCGTCTTTTCGGGTGAATTGTTTTTGCTTGCAAGGGTGAATTGCTAAACTCAGGTTCAAACCTCAGTGATTTACTTTTTTAGTTTTTTTTACTGACTTACAAATTTCTTCAATTATTTTAAATTACCTTGTTGGTAGTGTCGGGCATTAAATAAAACTTATTTAAAAATAATAAAAATCAACAGCAAGTAGGATTAACGCCTACCAATTTGCATTCCGCAAATTTGCAGTAAGGTGTGTTTTGTATCAAATTTCAGTGACAAATAATAATATAATGTCTATCGACAATCATAATTGGGGATGCTGCGAGGATAACCTTGATACAGAAGACTACATTCAGTGTTTGAAATGCTCAAAAAAGTTTAATACGGCCTGTCTCAGCTCTCCCACTGTAATTCACGTGGCAATGTTCTCTATGTAAAAAGCTTACGACTCAAAATTGGGACTAACGACAACACGCCGGTTCGACTTAATCCTAATGTCACTGTACGGTCTTCTAAAAGGCAGGCACTGCGGGTGCCTCCAATAACAGGAGCGTCAGCTAATGAAGTTAGAGACATCATGCAAGAGTATTGTAAGAGCATTACATCTAAAATCGATTCCCTAAATTCCATTAGTTCTGAACTAAAGTCAGTTAAGGAGATGCTGGAAATGAGAAGCTCTATGGACTTCATGAATTTCAAATACGAATTGTTGAATAAAGACCACGAAGAAACTAAACAGGCGATGGTTGATCTCCAAAAAGAAAACAATGCTCTGAAGGGAATATTAGAGACCTCAATGCGCGAATTAATACCCTTGAACAGAACGCACGCGCTATGATTGTAGAAATTCATGCATCGCTGAAAATAAAAATGAAAACTTAATGCAAGTAGTAACTCAACTAGGTGCTGTATTCAAGTGTAATGTTAAAAGCGAAGATATTGTGAACTGTTCACGTATGGCCAAAATCAACACTAACAGTACGCGACCAAAATCAATTGTAGCCCAATTCGCTAATAAAAATATTCGTTATGTGTTTTTGGCAGCATCCATCAATTTCAACCGAAAAAAGGCAATGCAGGAAAAGCTTAATATCTCGCATCTGGGATTCAACGGAGGAAAATCTCCAATATACATTGTGGATCAATTGTCTGCTACGAATTAAAGTTCGCATCGGGTTCATGCCGCAGCTAGAAAGATTGGTAAAGAAAAGGGATATAAAACGTTTGGGCTAGTAACGGGCGTATATTTATGAGAAAAACCGATAACTCCGACTAGTACTTAAGTAGTTGTAATGATAATTATTATGTTATTTTAGTACAAGTAATTGGATAAAAATCCATAAAACTCACTTCTATATCTATATATTATATTTATATATATTATAAGTTTACGCACTAAAACCTACATATTTTTACAAAACCTTATTTCAGATAATGATGTTATTGTGCTAACAGAGACCTGGCTGAAAAATAAAATACATGACTCTGAACTTTTTGGTGAAAGAAAGTGCCATATACAGAAAGGACTGAGAAACGTCCGGCTTTAACTTGAACAAAGAGGGGCACTAATTGCAAATTCTAAACGTTTAAATTCAAAACTCATGCAGAAATGGGAAAGTGAATTTAAGGATGTTTGGGTTATGATTGATGGTACCCATCCACTAGCTCTATGTGCGGCATATCTGCCACCGTCGGTGCAAATGTAAATGCTAAATCATTTTATTGATAACTTTGACTATGTTTTCAAACTCTTTAACTCTCGTATATGTACTTGGCGATTTCAATTTGCCGACAGACTGGAATTTAGTTGGGGGTCCATCTTATAACTTATCACGACTATACCAGTATTTCATAAATTTCGTCAATGTAAATAATTTAACAAAACATAGCTCCATAACAAACACTATAGGTAAAAGTCTCGATTTGGTCTTGGCCAATGTATCTTGCGTGGTTGCTGAGGCCATAGACATTTTATGACCGCTTGATTCGCTAGATCCGCATCTCCCTATAGAACTATTTCCGTAAGAGAGACCAAAGCTACAGCCTAATGCTGTGAGTAGGTTTAATTTGCATAAAACAGATTATGCTGCTATTAATGACTATTTAGCTGAAGTTGATCGGAAGTCTTTTTTACGGGCACAGTGATTTAATTAAGAAGCTTGAATTATTTATAAAGGTTCTTAACAAAGACATTAATGAGTTTGTACCAATTGTCAAACAGAATACTAATAAATATCCTCCCTGTTTAAGTAAGGACTTGATTAGTTGCTTGCGAGAGAAAAATAGGGTTAGACTAAGGTACAAAAAATACGGCAAACCCCTTAGACGGGATATCATATCGCCTACTGACTCAGCGTTGTAAAAAAGTAGCCTCAGAAGGCTACAATGCATATATTCGTAAAATTGAGGATAGAATATTAAAGAACCCGAAACTGTTCTGGTCTTATATCAAGACCAAATGTGGTGGTTCTGGAGTATGTCCAGCTATGATAATACGGTGATACGAAATGGTAATAACATTTGCAATAGCTTTGCATCCTAATTCTTCTCTTTTACCTCGGATCTTGGCGTCCTCTGTGACATAAATACTGACTAGAATATATTTAGTACATCAGTGGGGGGAGGAATCGATAGTTTTTTTCACTCTACATCACATACAAATTTATATAAAAATAGCCGATATTGATGTAACGAAAGGCCCTGAGAGTGATAATATTTCACCATTATTCATTTCACGATGCGCATCATGCCTGGTGGAGTCCTTGTTTATTATCTTTTACAACTCATTGAGTTCTGGGGTTTTCCCCAATGCTTGGAAGGTATCTAAAGTAGTAGCAATTTACAAGTCCAGCTTTTGATGAAGTGGTCTATCGATAGTTTCTGGTAAAGTTATCGGCATACGAAATACGGGGGAAGGGTTCTATTCTAGCTTGGTTCGAATCTTATCTACCAGGACGCTGTTTCTATGTAATGGTTAATGGTTTCAGCTGAGAGTTACGTGATATTACTTTTGGTGTTCCGCAAGGTTCTCACCTAGGCCCCATTTTCTTCAATATCTTTGTAAACGATCTATCTAATTACATAAAATACTCGACCTAATAGGCCTAAAATTGTGGAAAGACATTGAAACACAAGATGATGTTTTGCATTTACAAAAAGATCTTGACGCGCTAGTGAAGTGGTGTCAGACGAATGGAACGGAGCTCATTATCAATAAATGTGTTCACATTAAATTCATAAGAAAATTGAATCCAATTTCATCCGCCTACAGCGTTAATGGGTTTCGATGTTTAGGGATCTGGGGGTGCTTATGGACAGTAAATTGACATTTGTCCCACTTGACTACATCATGGGAAGGGCAAGATGTTGGGTTTTATGATAAGGAACGCTACAGTATTTAAAAGTCCTTCCACAAAAATTGCGCTATACAATAGCTTGGTCAGATTGATCCTTGAGAATGGAAGTGTGGTTTCGCGTCTACATTATGCCACTCACATACCTAATATTGAATGCATTCGGTTAGTAAAACGGTTAGTAAAACACTTGGTGTTCTCACACTTCTGGCTAGATTCTAAGATTGAGCCCCTACAAGGACCTACTAGAGTTCCTAAGGATGCAGAGCTTGGACAACAGTATCTACTTTACCTATTCTTCTTTTTCGAGATAATAAGATATCTGTTGCGTTCCTGCACTTTACTACTTTGCACTTTACTATTGAAATTCAATTTTAAAGTTCCGTCACGAATGCCTCATAAGCCCATTGAACTCTCTCGTCAGTTTCGCAAAACTGTTCTGGGAGCTAATTCACTGGTCTCCAGGACTTCCTAACTATATAATAAGTGCGGCGGGTCAATAGATATTCATGTTATGTCTCTAGCCACGTTTAAGGACACAGTAAACGATACGTTATTTAAGTAACTAGGTATAAATCATTATTTTATACAAATAATATTACTTTGTTCTATCATAAGTTTTTGTGTAACTTAAATACCTTTAATTGATTGTACAATGAGTATCTAAGTTTATGTGTGCTTACTATTTCTACATTGTTGCAACAATCTTTGGTGTACTTAATAAATAAATGATTCGGCGTATGGTTGCCACATATAATGAGACCTTCGAGCATATGCTATACCTTTAAACGAGCAATTATTATATATATATATATATATATATATATATATATATATATATATATATATATATATATATATATATATATATATATATATATATAATCGGAATCTCGGAAACGGCTCCAACGATTTTCATAAAATTTTGTGCCAGGGAGTTTCGGGGGGAAATAAATCGATCTAGTTAGGATTTATTTTAAGAAAATGTCTTTTTGTCCGTGTGTTCAGGCAATGAAAAACCGCTACAATATAAAAAGGTAAATTTTGACATTGTGTTAATGATCGTAATAGCTCAAGTGGATATCGAGCGGTCGCGAAATCGTCATGCCTTGGTTCGCGTCCTGTCTTCGGTTCAACTTTTTTTTCTTTTTTTTCAAGTTCCCTTCTTTTGTGAGAAAATCTAATATTTTAGGCCCTTAATTTTTTTAATTAAAACCGAGCAAAGAAGTAGAGTAGAGAGCTAGGTCATCCAGGTACTAGACATTTTACGCTCAACGGAAAAAATTCGTGGTCTTTTATACCAGACACTTTTCAAATAATAATTTTGTTACCTTAGTCACATTATAATACCATTGTTGACCATACTTTGACATTTATAGAAATAGAAATAGAAACTTTTTTATTCAATGTAGATTATAAAAATACTTATTGAAGGTCACTTTTTTAATTTACCACTGGTTCGCAAAAAAAACCTCTGTCCTGGGAAGAACCAGCAAGAAACCCAGCGGGACTATTTTTTTTTCAAATAATAGCTTACAATCATGTTTACAATCAACAACACAAGACAAATTAGAAATAGCTTGGTAGCGATCACCCTTCCCAGGGGTTATTATCATCTATAAATTCCTTAACCTCCTTAATATATAATATGTTTTGTACAGCTGCAGGTTTCCTAGCGTCTTAATTATCTATTCCAAGAGGAAATCTATGAACAGCACTGCGGGCAGCACTATGCATATATTATTGTTACTGTACTATCTGTATATAAAATGTATAAAGTAGCTGTTAGCTGTTCCACTATGAGTAAAATAAGAAAAAATAAACATAAACATTCATATCTGTCATACGGACTTCTACGGATATATAAATATATATATATATATATATATATATATATATATATATATATATATATATTACATCATGCACATCGGTGAAGGGTACTCATAATGTAGCCTATCTTCAAAATATCGCCAATTTAATCGATAAGCCTTTGTCTAGGGCATCCCCTCCAGACTCCCCCGTCCACTTCAGCAAGACAAATTTGCTTTGTCACTGTTTTCTTGTTCAGTCACTACATGAGCAAATCATCAAAGCATTCCTTTCTTAATCCAGGTAAAAACATCATCGCGCAAATCACACTTTTCTCTTATCACACATAGTTTTTTCATCGGTTTATACTGTATAAATATATAAATGAAAATTATATATATATATATATATATATATATATATATATATATATAAATAGTGTGTCCGGTTACGTACTAGCGATATTCTAGGTACTTATAATACAGCTATTTTAACACAAAAATACACCACACACTGAGGTCTAACCCCTCCCCTTCTATGTGGCAGCCATTTTGTTTTTTTTGCTTGAGATATTCTCTACGTGTTTACAAAAAACAATCATATCTATTAAAGTTTGATCTTTAAATGAAAAATTATGCTAATCGGCAAATTATTGTAAATTACTGTAAAAACA